AACAACAGGTGCAGAGGTGGCTCTGTAGGCTCTATAGGTGGCTCAAGAGGTTCTCTGCCACACTGCTCTCTTAGTCAGAAATTCCTGTCTTTTTGGTGCTGAGGACTGTAGGGCAAGAAAGTGTCAATGCGGGGGGCTGAGGATCACTAGTTACCCACTAAAAACTGCTCTGAGAACTGCCTGACCGTTTAGCTGCAACGCACACCCATGTGGGTCCCAGTTTTGCACCAGCACTGCCTTCCAGATTAGGGCTGGCAGTGTAGGAGAGCAGTAGGTTGGTTCAAGGATCGCAAAAGAGCGCGCTCCAGCCGGTAGGAGCCAATCCTAGGAGGCTTTTCCCAGAGGAATGCACCAAACCTAAAGGGTTGGAAGATTCAAAGTGGGGACGGGGGGGGGCATTAGAAACGCCAACTGGCCCCTTCTCACCCCAAACAAGGAAAACAAAAAAGTGTTCCGGGCTAAAAATACATACTTAGAAAGTCCCTGTGCGCAGGCAGATGGCGAGTTCCAGCTGCCGGCCTGGCCCGGGAGGACTTGGCCGCGCAGCCGGCGATTACACCCAGCTCTGCTTGGGATGGCTCCGAGCCGTCTGCCCTGACGTCAGCAAGGCTCTGGGCCCCGCCGCGCCGAGATAGGCAAGCGCGGTCGGGCGCGGGCGCGGGCGCGGCACTAATCACTCCCAGATGTCCCTAATAGCAGAGATAAAGACGGACGGAGCGGCAGGGAATAAATTTGTAATCAGGGCTCTACCATCTGATCATCAAAGCGACCCAAATGCGGGGAGAAATTTGGAGGGAATGTGTGTGCAGGGAGTTGCGTTTAGGGGACTGAGTCGTGCTCCTGGCTGGGTGGAGCGGTCAGAATGGGGAACGAAGTTTATAACTTATGTGCGCCTGTGAATCAGATCTCAGTTAAACTTCTATGGGTCGACAGGCCGAAGCCGCTGAGCAGTTCTAGGCTAATTAGAACTGGACAGACAGTTGCTGTGCGTTGTTGCACACCAGATGGGTGGTAAGGCTGCACTCTTCGAGCTGTCCGGCTCCGGGAAACCTGGAACTGTTTTCCTTTTTTGGAGCAGCCCCCTCCCTCTTTTAAATACCTAGTGTCTTTTAAAATACCTAGTGTTCCTCCTATCATCCGGATAATCTCTCCGGCAGCGATTCATTGCTTACTGAGCTTTTTAAGGCTGCTGGGGCTTCCAGTCTGAAGGAGGTTCCTGGAACTTTCTGTCCTGGAGGTCAGAGAATCCAGCGCCTAGAACAGGACGGGAATCTTGCAGGTCCAGAAAACTCTTTGGCGCCCCCTCCTTGTGCGGAGATCTGGGTCGGAGGTGTTGAACCTTTTGGTGGAATGGGTTTTCTCAGGCTCTTTTAGATCTTGAATAGCTGGGCAGGCCTGGGGGTCCAGATTCAGTCTGGGGCTCACTCCATAAACTTCCTTCTAAGGACCGCCTCTGTTTGGCACCCACCAGCCAATCCTTCTTCCAAATCTGGGTGCGTGGATTATAACTCACGCACTGAGAAAAGCAAGGAAAAAAAAAAAAAAGGCGACTGTGGAAGAGAGAACAGTGAGCACCGAGCTAAAAGCTGCTTCTGGTTTAAGCTCCAGGAATAACAGCGGTTTTCTGAACTTCATAGCTCTGTTTGCTGCCCTTGCCCTACACCTTAGGCCCTTGCACCTGGCCTAGGTTTTCTCTTCAAAGTTAGCCTCTGGGGTAGCCCATAGACCTCCTTCTGCTGTGGCTTTGCATTTGAACTTGTTCTCATTTCCCACACCTCTTCCTGTGAAATCTGCTGTCACTCTCTCAATACTTTAACCCTGCTAGAGCCCAGCAGCTTAGGGCAGCAGAGCCATCCTCCACCCCAGACTCACACTCAGGTGTTTTCCAAGAGTTGCACAAAGTGTCTCTGTCGCCAAAATTAGTAGACCACTAGGGTCCTTCTACACCTGAGAAGGCTGCTTAAGTCGAAGGTCCACAGCTGCAACCTCTGTGCTGATGTGCCTGCCTAGAGCCAACTCCCTACCCTCCTGCTTTTCCAGTGAGACTCTGGGATTTTGAAGGCAAGCAGAACCTCTTAAATGATCTTGCTGTCATTTTGAACTCTGCCTCAAAGCTACTGTCAGTGGCCCGGGTGGGGTGAAAGTCCTGGGAAATTGAGCCTGAGAGTAGGAAAGATGGTGAGCCCCACCCAGAAATTTGTTCCCAAGCTGAGAATGGATCTGAAGAAACACACACTCATACACACACACACACACACACACACACACACACAGAGACAGAGATAGAGAGAGACAGAGAAAGACAGAGAGACAGAAACACAGAGAGACATAGAGAGAGACTACCACAAGAAGTCCGTCTCTTGCTTGCCAGCACTCCAGGGTTATCAGGGTTTTGTCCAGCAGGGCGGTCTGGGGCCGAGCCCTGACAGCCAGATTGACCATCAATTTACCTTCCTCGCCCTAGCTTCCCATTTAGCTTTTAATGTCAAATCCTACATTTTTGTTGGCTCCGGCCTGTCTAGAGCGCTAGTGATTTCGCTGCAGAAATGATTGCTCTTAACAAAATGGCAGCAACCACATTATCCGAGCAATTAAAGCAGAGGCCTTTTAGCCAAGCTTCCCTCAAGTCAGAGCTTGGAAACTTTCTCTCAACCCCTTTTAAACAAAGAAGAAAAAGAGTTAAAAGAGAAAGAAGTGTGTAGAAGAGGAAAAGCATGGAATCGCAGTAGAAACTCCCGCTCAACTTACTCCGCAGCTCACTTCCCTGGATTTTGACCACCTGGGGAGGGTGATTGGGTGACTAGGGGTGCTGGGATCGTTGGGATGTCTAGTTGGTTGAGGTAAAGGATAACCTGCATGTTCTTCCAGTGGACGTGTCTGACTAGTTGAACTGTGTGTTTGGTTAGAGAGTATGTCCCCTTGAAGTGTTGGAAATCTGGAGCTTTCTAATAGCTGGAGTCTCAAATCATCTGGGTTTCTGGACAACTGAGGTTTCTTAGCAGGTTGGAGTGGTAATGTATCAGGGTGTCAGGGCCTGTTGGGGTCAGGCTAGAGGGAGAGGAGGCAGGAACCTCAGTGGTCCAGGACACATCCCTCTAAAAACATAAGGATTTAAACGGCTACATATTGCTTGTGCACTAGGATCTTCTGATTCCCTTGTTCTTGTGATTAGTCAGAAGAAGCGCATTAAGGCCCAAAAGAGAAGAGCAGCTACCCCAAACACACACTGGCACACTCATATGGTAAAGGCTCTGGAGGTCATGTTTCTAAAACATGGCTTCTCCCATCAGTGTCCACTCCATAACTTTGGTAGATTCCATTTTCCACCTCTAGAACCTGCAATCTTCCTCCTGAATGCATAAAAGTAAAGACACAGAAGGCCTGTGCAGGCAAGAAGAGAAAGTCATTTGGTCAAACTGACAAGAATCCAGAGAACTCCAGAAAACCTGGGCGCTCTCCCCCCCCCCCCCCCGGGGTAAAAAAAAAAAAAAAGTGCGTTAAAAAAACCCCCCCCCCCCCCCAGTGATATAAACAAAGGCAAGTGTCTGTAAACACAGCCCCTAGCTCGCCAGGTCCGCTCTGCGCCGGCTGACCTGAGGGGAGAAAGTTCAGATCGCTTTGGCCGAGTTGTTGTAACCCCTCGCCCTCACGTTGTCAGCCGCGGGCAGAAGTCCGTAGCGCCACTCGCTCAATTCCCCCCCTCTGCCCCCTCCCGCAGCACTTGCGGATTCGCCCACGCTGGCTTGGTCCAGCTGACTGCAGACGGCCGGGTCAGGGAAGGCAAGAGTGAGACGTGGGAACCCACGAGGGTCTGTGCCCGCAGGCGAGGTGCGAACATCACCCCAAGAATGGCTTCCAAGCTGGAAACCCTTTGGCAAGCCTTTCCAACACCAGATTTATATATGTGGCGTTTCATGAAACAAACCGCTTTTTAATACGTTTCACCTTTTCTCTCCCCCCATGCCTCCCCTCCTCCTTCATCCTCCACCCCTGCAGAGTCAGTTCTTTATAGCACTTTGGTTTCTCTGTTTCTTGAGCAGAGTGAAGCTCTGGTCAAGCCCTTGGGAAAAGCAGGCCGCAGGGACTTTCTTTCCGGACCTTACCGGATTCTGGGAGACCAAAGCCCCCGACAGAGTGAAGTTCCGGGCTGCTAGTAGCCCGGGGAGGTTGCCGCTTACTCTCGCTGCAGCAGCGAGGACCTCAGACACCGCATAGTTAATATTGAGTTCCTTGTAGCTCCTTGTAAATCTAACCCAACCCCTGGCCCCCCTTTAAATCTGTGGTCTTGTTCGCGATTTCTTACTTGACGTAAAATTCCTTGTTACCTAATCATACTCTTTTTCAAAAGCCTCCCCCCCCCACCGCCCGTGCTCAGATGAGAATCTTCCGATCTAGATAGACTACAAGCAAAACCTCCTCCTCTCTTTTTTCTCTGTCTTTTTTAAATTCTTGGATGAAAGCCCTGTATTTTGAACTAAACACCCTAGACAATTTCCTGCGGTTGTAATAAGGCCTGGGATCCTCCTCACACGTCCACCATAGAAAACGAGCTCCCCAAACACAGACCCAAGCACCCCACAAACGGCATCGCACTCCCCTAAAACAAACCCAAGCACCCGACAAACAGCATCGGATTTCTGTGAAACAAGGACACCTTTCTACCTTCTGCACAAAGGGCAGGCTGTTCTCCCATTCAAACACTCCTAGAAACCACTCAAGGGTCTCCTGGGGGTTGGCAGAAGAAGAAAAGGGACAGCACTGGTTAGAACCAGGCCTTTGGACAGGATTTTCACCAGGGACACTTTTCTTTAATAGGACCTCTCCTACCTAGGGAACCTCAGGTCATATTGATTGATCAGAATCACTGACTCTTTCAAATAAAGTTGGAGGCAATTATAACTTAGTTTACTTCTGAATATTTTAAATATCATGAAAACAAGTATAACAGCGTTGTTTTCAAAAATTTCTTTTGAGGTATCAACCATTAAAAGATAAGGGTGTTTTAAAAAAAAACACACAGTGGTTTATTGAATACTTACAACGTTTACACCTTCAATATTAATTAAATTCCACTTAGTTTTAGAGGACGGAAGTGCACAAAACAAGTTGGAAACATCTTCGAATACGGAACAACATATGAAGACAGCATTAGATAACCGACCCCAAAGGAAATGGTAGGGGCCTTGTTTCCTGCTTTGAAATAAAAACTTTATAATCCCCAGGAATATTTATACCCAAATATTAAAGATACACTCACTGTCTTTATCTGGAAGGGGTAGGTGGGAGAGGAGGCGACGCTGGTGTCTACACAGCCAAAGGGAAACATTCACGCACATAGAATGTTGGGATCCCTTACCAACCTGGAGTGTCCTCTTCATATTAAAATATGGAATGCTTTTCTTCAAATATCCATTTTTTTTGAGGGGGAGGTGGGGAGCGGATGCCTCAAAGGGGGGCAAGAAGAGGGGGGAAGGAAATTGCACATAAATAAACCGGATGATCCAACTGCAAGAAGTCCTCAGAGCGGAGCCCAAGAGCTTGCCGGGAGTCCTGGGTCTGCATCTGGAGCCTTGGCCCGGCTCACTCGCTGCTTTCCTCTTTCTCCTCCTCTTCACTGCTTGAGCTCCAGCGCCCAGACGTGCTGCGGCCAGCCTGTCCGGCCTTTGGTTTTCTTGTCGTTACTGCTCACTGTGCTTTTCAAGATTTCGTTCTGTGCAGAAAGGGAGGTGGACAAGACAAATGAAAAGAGAAATTCAGATACCTTGTTCTAGCTACCCCAGAGCTTTCCTGTTGAGAAGATGCCGAGAGCCTGTGAGGGAAAGGCTAGAAAGGGGGACCACTTCAAATCCGGGAGCTGACGAAAAGTTACGCTGGTTTGCACTGCCCTAGATACCGCCAAGGCCTCCGCGCTGCAACGTTCAAACCCAATCGGCAAGTTTATAAACAACCGTCCTATTTCTAGTCGTTTATGGAGAAGCCAAGGGTCTCTCTTTTTTCTTTGACTGTGTAGGAGAGGAAGCAGAGGTTGGTGCTAAATTAGCTTTCTGTTTTCAATAGCAATCCTAGATCCAAAGGACTGGGCCTTTCAGCCGCCAGCCAACGGCTCTGTGCCTTAGCTCAGCAGGCTCTCCTCCAAGGCCCCAGAATGCTCCGGTTATTCAGTTATTCGAGAGAGCACCACATTCTGCAGCGATCAAAGGGCCTCAAGGTCCAAAGGAAAACACACACACACACACACCACCACCACCACACCAGCACCCCCAAAACAAAAACTCCACAAAGGAACTTTTTCTCAGGGTCTTCCTGACCAAGTCCATGTCCTGAATAGCACCACTTTACAGGGACTTGGTTAAGGATCCGAGAAAACTTTAGATTGCCCGATATAATTTCCCGTTGCAGTGAATAACAATGGACATAAAGTTTATCATTTGGCTCTTAGAAAGCACAAGCTCATCCACATAAAATTAGAAATACTGACAAATAAATTTTGGGAAATTACATTTTTAACTTCACAGCCAAAGAGAAACTGAGGCTGTATTTTAAAGTTAAAGTTACTTCATGCTTACCGATACCTCTTCAGGACATAGTAATGAGAAAGAACTAGCATAAAACTTTCTTAGGGTTCAGAGTCAGTTTCAGTCTTGCTTTTGGGGTGGGAAATGCGATCTAAAGTAAAATAATTGGAATTGAGAGGTTATGGGTAACTTAGGTTAGAAATATTTGAAAGAAAGGTTGGAATGGAAGCCAAATGGTGGCTTGGAGAGACAAGACAGAGAAGAGCGACTGGAGATCCGTCAGTTCCCACAGCTTGGAAGGCCGGTCCTAAATGCCCACCCGAACAGTGAAAATTCAGAGGGAGGAGCAGAAGCGGGCAGCGCCTAAGCCACCTACTTCAGCTGACATCCTCCAGCACCTCTCTTGCACATGCAGGAAACCGTTCCGCACTACAACCTGGTGCAAACAACCTTGGCGCTCCACGCAGCCAAAGAGCTATTTCTCAGAGCAGCGGTCCCCTGATTCCCGAGCCCCTCACCACCCTCTGCGCCCCAGTACTGACCAGTTCTTTCTTCCTCTTCTCCTCTTTCACGTCGGTCTTCTTGATCTCGGCCTTGAAGGCCTCCGCCTCGCCATTCTGGTCGTCCTTGGCCAGCAGATCCATGAGGTAGGCGATGTAGCTGGTGGCCAGGCGCAGCGTCTTGATCTTGGAGAGTTTGGTGTCGGCGGGCACGTTGGGGATGCACTCCCGCAGCTCCGCGAAGGCGCTGTTGATGCTCTGAGTCCTGCGCCGCTCCTTGCGGTTGGCGGTGCCCCGGCGCTTCACCGGGCGCGGCCCCCCCAGGCCCGGAGGCCCGGCGCCGGGCGGCACTCCCCCATAATGGGAGTGGTCCAGGCCAGCGGCGCCGCTGGCATACTCGGGGCTGTACGACAGGGCCATGCTGTAGTCGGGGGGCGACATCTCCGGATGGCCAATGAGCCAGCCGTGGAAGTAGGGGTTCTCCTCGTGGCTGCAGCGGCTGGCGGCGGCGGCGGCAGCGGCGGCGGCTGCGGCGGCGAACGGGTAGCCCTCATGGTGCACCACGGGGTGGTGGGGAAAGCCCCCCACTAGACTCATCTCGCTCTCCGTGGGCCTCCAGGCGCCCCAGCGTGCGCGCAGCCCCGCCGCACCCTCCACGCGGGCCT